TGCAACTCCCCTCTGAGATGCCAGATGCTCTGGCTGGGAGGCTCACTCACCTTGTGTAGGTCTGCACACATGGCACGCTGGATATCTGCATGCCTTTCTTCCAGAAAGTGGCACAGGCCCTCCAGTTGGTGGACTCGATACTCCTTAGGACGTGTCTTTCCTGTCATCCAGGTAGCACGTAAGCCATGCACTAGGTCAGCATAGGGGTTTGTACTAGGACAAAACAAACACTCATAGACTCAAAAGAGTTATGGGAGAGTTCCATTCTTTATATCATTTATGTTAATCCTGAGCCCGCAAGGCAGGATGCCCTGTAAGAACTGGATGGATAACTATATTGCCTTTTTTTACTTTAATAGCAGAGTTTGGGAATTTCTGCCATGACTCAATACTTTCTTGGCTTCCTAACACTTCATACAAAGATTTCTACTTCAGAGAAGACCCAAAATAGTATTTTCCTTCTTGACCCACACTTGTGTTATTCTTTTTCTACAGAATGTCATCATTTTGGACCAGAAGCAAGAACAGCTGCTGCCATACTTTTCTCATAATTTTCTTACAAACTCAAGTTGGTCATATCCAGATAATAATTAATGTTTTTTTTCTTTCATGCTTGGAATCAAAAATTAAAATGCTGAGGTGATGGAGCATAATCTAACTACCGTGTTTCCCTGGAAGTAAGACCCTGTCTTACTTTCTTTTGGGCTCTGAAGTAAGGACAAAGTTTTACTTTCAGGGAGGGCTTACTTTTTGCCGGTACCGGCACCAGTAGGCCGCGAGCACGCGGGGGTGAGGCGAGGCCTGTGCATGGGGCGGAGAAGCAACGCGGTGGCGAGAGTGTGGTAGCAGACCAGTTGCTTCCCTCCGCCTGCCAGACACCTGGCGAAGCCGCGCAGGGTAAGGTTGCCATGCCCTCCCCCGCCCAGATGCCTCTCCTTCCCCAAGCGTTTTTTACTAACCTGCCTTTCAGCTGCATTGCGTTTCTCCGTTCGCTTCTCAGCCATCGCTGCGTGTTTATGGGACTACCGGTAAAAAAAAAAAGTTCAACCAGACTTTCTAACTTCTCGCGAGATCTCGAGAAGTTAGAAAATCTGATTGAACTTTTTTTTTTTTACAGGTAGTCCCACAAACATGCAGCGATGGCTGAGAAGTGAACGGAGAAACACAATGCAGCTGAAAGGCAGGTTAGTAAAAAAATGCTTGGGGGAGACGAGGCGTCTGGGTGGGGTCGGGGGCGGCAACCTTACCCTGCACAGTGGTTGGAGGGTGGGGTGCAATGTTGGAAATAAGCAAGACAGAACTTACTGAATGTCTGCCTATTACAGATAATCCTTGGCTTATGAGTATTCATTCAGTGACTATTCAAAGTTACAGAGGCTGTGAAAAAAGTGACCGATGGCCTGTTTTCACACTTAACGACTGTTGCGGCACCCCCATGGTGACATGATCATAATTTGGGTCCTTGGCAACTGGCATATATTTATGACAGTTGCACTCTCCCAGGGTCACGTGATCACCATCTGTAACCTTTCCAGCCAGCTTCCGACAAGCAAAGTCAACGGGGGAAGCCAGATTCACTTGGCAACTGCACAGTTCACTTAACAACTGCAGTGATTTGCTTAACAAGGGTAGCAAAAAGATCGTAAAATGGAAATTTTGGGCTCAATTGTGGTCATAAGTCAAGAACTATCCGTATCTTGTTATTACAGGTACAGAACTGTTTTTACGTGGAAAGATTATATTACCCCACGTACGAAATCTAACCTACCTCTGTAATGTATAAAATGTGTCTTTCTTCATCTCCGCTGCCTCCTGGTGGACACAGTTCTAAATGCTCTCTCTGGAGTCACACGTCATGTTAGCCCAGAATGTGATTTGTTCAGTTTTGATGTAACATCTTATGTGAACTCTGCCACCAAGGGTTTTAACTTTTAAGCCATGTTTACAGCTTAGCGTGATGTGTGAACAACCTTCTCGCTATAGCCTCAGTAAATCCCTAGACTCAGGTGAATGTGCTTCNATGTCTCCAACTATCCCTCTAGTGCTAATTGTAAAAAAGAAATTGGAAAGCTCTAACTCTGCAGTGACTTTGGGGCTCTCAATCAGATCACTCAACCATTATCCACTGTCCCTCATTTCAGAACTGCCTTTGTACAGCCAAGATATTCATCAAGCTGGATCTGTGGGGTGTTTACAACCTAGTATGGATCTGTGAAAGATATAAATGGAAGACTTCCTATTGCACATGCTGTAGCCATTTTAAGTATACAGTCACGCCTTCTGGACTATCTAATGCTCCTGGGGTTTTTCAATAGTTCACAAACAATGGCTTTCAAGACCTTTTGGAGAAACTTCCTGACAGTTAAAACAATTAACCAGTGGAACAACCTGCCTCTAGAAGCGGTGAATGTTCCAACACTGGAAGTTTTTAAGAAGAGACTGGACAGCCATTTGTCTGAAATGGTATAAGGTTTCCTGCCTGAGCAGGGGGTTGGACTAGATGATCTCCAAAATCCCTTCCAACTTGTTGTTGTTGTTATTGTTGTTATTGTTGTTATTGTTGTTGTTATTATTATTATTATTATTATTATTATTATTAATCATCGCACAGTCAGCCAGATGTTCAGACTGTATTTGGCATTTTTTCTACCTATTGAGTCCTTACCCAGGACCTGGAATAGGCAGATGTGGATGTTTGATGGTGTTACAGATATCATCGCAGGATGGAAGCAGTTCCTAGTAAGGCCACCTTTTGCAATTGACTAATGGCGAATTTGTCAATGCCAATGGTGTTCAAGTGGTGCTCCAGTTGTTTTGGGATTGCATCCAAGGCGCCTATTACTATTGGTACTACCCTTGCTTGCTTTTGCCACAGTCTTTCTATTTCTGGAAAGGCAATGGTCCTGAGGAATGGTCTTGGGAGAATACATCCCAAGTGCATGTTCCATGTTTAGTTAGATGGTTTCATCAATGTTATCCTCAATAACCTTGCTTTGTTGATAGGATGGAAGGGGGCCCTGGGCGTGAGATAGTGTTATGAGCCATGCTTCAAAATCTGATCTTGAATCTGATAGTGTCACTCCAGCTGAGCCTGGGCTTCAGGATTGTCAGCCTCAGGAATCAGTAAGCCAGAATTCAATTAAGGCTGATCAACCACAGGTGTCTCCTGTTCACCTGCAGCAGTCAGATGATGAGGCACAACCCCCAAGCCCCAGGTCTAATTGCTTACACAGGCAAGCAGAGCAACACTCTTCAGTGAGGCTCCTTCCTAGGCAAAGCATGAGTAATTGCAGTTACAGAATACTTATTTCCTGCACAGAACTAGCAATCTTTGAAAAAGCATTAAATACATGTTTATAAGACCATATAAACCCCTGTGAGGATTTATGGCAGCTGTCTGAGTCCAAGCCAAAATGGCTCTAAGGATAGCTCCCAGTGATCAGAGAGTAGGGGAATGCCCTCAATAGCCTAAAGAGGGCAATGAGATCTCAACCCTTGATCATGTCAGTAGCAAAATGTTCAGTGAAGTATGCCAGATCATATCCCTGGCCAAAAACAAAACAAAACAAAAATAGAAGAAAGGCATTACTTAACGATCAAAGCAAGTAAGGATGTCTTCAATTTGCTTCAGGTCTGAATGGAGGCTAAGATGAAGATGACATCATGAGACACAGCAAAAAGAAGTACTAATTGGGTCATATTCGTATCATAATCATAAGCAGCAAGAAGTCCTTTCCCTCCACTTATGAGCAACTGAAAAGGCAGAAGTATTTGAAAATAAACAAATAATAAACAATAATAAACAAAGTGCAATTTAACTCGCCAAGTCAAGTGTACCTGGAATCAGAGACTGGACTAAAGAGTCTTGCTCTAAAACACTTTCTGAGTCTTGTCAACTTCAAGTTGTATGAAGTTCAAATCTCAGAATTTCTCAGCCAGGATGGCCATTGCTGAGAATTCTGAGAGTTGAAATCCTCTCATCTGAAAATTGACGTGTTTAGGATACATGCTCTAAAACTAAAAGATTAGCAAAATTGAGATAACTGAAGAGAAGAGCTACTAATGAACTGTGATGCCCCTTTCTGGAATAACAACTTATATATTTTTTGTGTTAACATTCCTGGGTATCCATCTTGCCTCAGGATGAAGTCTGGTCTATGCTGAACTGTCTAGAGTTCCAACAGCTGCTACTAATATCATGGCAGTTTACCACGCATATACTTTCTTTCTTGGGAAGTAGATGTTCCTTTGCTTAAGCTGCCCAATATCAAAATGGGGCCAGTTCCATTAAAGCTTTTGCAAACTCTGCTTGTTTGGTACTGGGTTTAGTGGGGCAGATATTACTGTTCCTGTAAAAATTAAGTGTCCTAAACAGTTGAAAGAGGGATAAAGTGGTTGTTACTAAAGTGGTAAAAATGGCAGTGCTTTCTGCTTCAATTCTGTTAAGCATCTTGTTGTCCCATAAAGTTTTGTTACAGCATAAACTTTTTAAAGCAAAGCCTATTCTTTTATATCTCATTAGTTGTAAACCAAGTGTGTTTGTATACAACAGATTTGTAAATCAAATGTAAGTTTATAAAAGGAGCTAAAAGGAAGGTTAATATTGCACCTTTTATACTGTTCTTAGTCTTCAGATTTCACTGAACCTTGCCGTCCTTTCTTTTATTTTTAAAATGCAGACTGGATTACTTGAAAACCCGTTATAAATACTCTACCGTTTAATATAAATTTATTTTCCTCATCTCCCTGGAAATATCATAGGAAAAAAACCTGACAAAACCTAGTGATTGCTAATCCAGGCTGTTCTCCCTAGAGATTGCAATACTTGTTTTTAGAGGGAACCTTGCTTGATCTTCCTAGAAAAGGATTTCTGCTCTGGTACTGCATCCTATTTTGTCATAATTTATTTCAGAAAGGTTCAAGGGCTTCCATAAAAAGTGACACAGAGCAACAAAATAAATAAAAGTCTTGTTATCTACCCCTGAAAAAGGAATGCCACTGTTGCCACTGGGCAAAGAAATGCCCTGGGCACGCCAGCTACTGTAGCCCTACACATTCAGGGTACCAAGTGTGAGCTGCCAGGTGAGGTTATTGTCATGCAAACACCTGTCTCATTTCATAGGGACTTCATTGCTCTTGCTTTCTTTTTCATTCCACTGAAAAAAACCTCACATCCCCTAAGGAACCATCTTCCTTTTTTCATACTAGATATTGTTGGGTTGTTGTTTTTTATAAAATGCCACAATGAAAGGTTGGACAACATATGTTCAAAAAAACACAGAAGTCTTGATAAAAGTCACTGTTAGCATAGGCATCCTTAAATCTTTGGTATTCACTTAGGTCAATATCTCATGACCTGCCATATACCATTGTGGTGATAGCCCCTGGTTGCCTCTTTACTGACACAATTCAAAATTTAATTCTCTTTTCTTTCCTTTCAGAGCAATTTTGCAAGACCTGGGTCTGAAGTCTCCAAACCAGTAGGTACATTGTTTTGCATGTTGATATTTGAACATGCTCTTCCCTACCTAAGTTTAAAAAACCAACCCAAGTTTAACCGACATCTTAATTGCACACTAATTCCTGCCCTTCACTTGACCAACATAGAAAACACCAGATAAACAAAGGTCCTTTTTTGGCTCTGCATATTTTCTCTGTAGTTTAACCCTGGAAACAATAACTGGGTGTCTTAATATATTCTTAGATATATAGTTCAAAACATTCATGCAGTATTCATTTTTACAATTATTTTATAACATGTCCCTTATGTCCATTTTACAGAAAGAAACCTAAAACTGAGATGGAACAGCAACAAATTCTCAAGAAAGGGACCCGTGTCTTTCAAATCCAACACCAGAATCCAAGTGGGCTAACTAATGAGTCTGTCTCTGACTGATTTCTACACCACACACCCCAAAGCTCCGATTAAATTCAGGTCCTTCCTATCTAAACCACTTATCACAAGACAGAGAATCTATGATGCTCCAGAAGTTGCTGACCACCAGCGTCCAGCATCCCTCACAGTTTGCTATGCCAGCTGAGGTTTCTGGGAAATATGGTTCAGCAATATATGGAGGACCTTCACGGCTTGTTCTCCGAGATCAGAACTGGACAATCTCAGAAGAGAATCCAGTCAATGCTCCCGTAACTCCCTGGACCCGTAGCTGAGCCGGCAATAGGTTCCTCTATATCAGAGTGGGACAAATTGATGTCTTCATCAATCATGCCTCTCTCTTGCCATGATTCAAAACTTCTTTAAGGCATCAGATTGTCAAGTCAGCCTTAGGAAGAAAATATGGGATTTGCTTCCAGCCTCTGTGCTTCTTTGGTACCTCTTTCCATTGTTGCAGTTGTATTCCTCAGCCTCTACTTCTGCTTCTTTCTGCCTGGCTGGTTCTGGGTGCAACTGGTAAGTGGAAGTTTCCTCTTCACCCTGTTTATTTCTGGAGAACTGCTTTTTACTTCGCATGCTTATGTTCTTTTGTTTTCTTGGCACTCCATCTGATTGGTTGTTAGCCAAAGCCCTCTTGTAATTCATTGGATGCTGAAGGTGCTGTGGGTGTGGCTCTGCAAAGCCACAAGAATGGGAAGGGAATATTCAGAGCAAAGGATGTGACTGGAAGGGTGGAGATAATCCAGGGTCTGAAACAAATTATTTTCTGTGTCAAATCTATTTGAGAAATGTGAGTAGATCAAACAATCTAATTTCTATTAGGCTGAAAACCAGCATAAGGAGGCGGGGATATAGTCAGTTAAAAAGCAAAGAAAATACATTAGGGTCCAAAATATTCATTATAACAATCTAAAAAATATAAAACAGAATAGATAGATAGATAGATAGATAGATAGATAGATAGATAGATAGATAGATAGATAGATAGATAGATAGATAGATAGATTAGATAGATAGATAGATAGATAGATAGATAGATAGATAGATAGATAATAGATAGATAGATAGATAGATAGATAGATAGATAGATAGATAGATAGATAGATAGATAGATAGATAGATAGATAGATAGATATAGAAACAAATGTCTAAAAGGAACCTAAAAAGAGGAGTAGGAATCTTAGGTGGGTGTAGAGAAGTAAAAGGTTAATGTGCGGCAGACTAAATCTGTCACTGTACAGCAGGGGTCCCCAACCTGTGGGCCCCGGCCCACTAGTCGGCCATGAAAAGTTTGCAGCTGGACTGTGGAAACAGCTGGCGAGCACGCATGCACGCATGTGCATCCTCACTTGCAAGAGCAGCGTGCGAGTGTGTGTGTACATGCTCCATTTGCCGCTTGTGCAAACGGAGCTGCGCTTGTCGGCCGCTTGTGCAAACTATTATCTCCCCCTACTGGTCCGCAAAACAAGAAACATTGGGGAACTCAGCACACTCTAGCATGATGAACTGGATCAGTGGTGGGATTCAAATATGTGAACAACCGGTTCTCTGTGTGGATGCCGCTTCCAGAAGTCCGTTCTGGGCCTAGGCAACAAAAAATTAGCTACCGGTTCTGCCGAAGTGGTGCGAACTGGCTGAACCCCACCACTGAACTGGATGCTTATTAAGACTAGTTTATGGCACAGGTCGTTATCTGATTGATTTTGAGAACTGCTGCGCAGAACCTGACAACATTATATGTAGCAGCAGGATCAGAATCTGAAAATAGCTGGATGGTATAAAATTGTTCTGTGCGTCCTGTGTACAGGTAGTCCTTGACTTACAACAGTTCTTTTAGTGACCGTTCGAAGTTACAACAGCACTGAAAAAAGTGACTTATGACCGTTTTTCACACTTGCGACTTGCAGTATTCCCATAAACATGTGATCAAAATTCAGACACTTGACAAGTGACTCATATTTATGACAGTTGCACTATCCTGGGGTCATGTGTTCACTTTTTACAATCTTCTGACAAGCAAAAGCAATGGGGATTTTGTTCACTTAACCACCATGTTACTAATTTAACAACTACAATTATTCACTTAACAACTGTGGCAAGAAAGGTCGTAAAATGGGGCAAAACTCACTTAACAAATGTTTCCCTTAACAATAGAAATTTTGGGCTCATTTGTGGTTGTAAGTTGAGGACTACTTGTATTTATACAGTAAGGGTGTGATGAGGCTAGTATGGATGTCTCTTAATGTGGGCACTGGAGAAGCACAAGATCCAGCCTCCCAGAACCGATGAAGCTTCCTGGATAAGAAGCAGAACGTCTTATTCTTCTTCATCATCAACAAGAAAAAAAA